ATAATTATAAACTTCTTAAAAAAAAAAGATTCATTTACATGATATTGTGAAGTAATGTATCTTTTGCATGAGTCTGATATATTTAATGATAATAAACTAATATTAAAGTGAATTATAATAATAAAATAGTTAAAAACCTTAATAAAGCATTAAACAAAAGATTTGTAACAACAATTATTTGAATGATCATAAGCTTTAACAAAAGTATTATTAAATACAAAATGATTAACTATTATATTAATATCATTCCATGTAAATTGCTAAATAAAAATTAACAACTAATAACAGAACTGGTTTATGAAAAAGATGAAAACTAAAATTAATTCATATTCATATTAATCCTAAATACTATGATACATGATAACTTACTGAATATATTCAGATTATTTAAAATTGCTCTAGCTAAGTTTGCTGGAGTAGTTTCACTGTTGAGATTTTTCGTTTTTCCTTTGTGTTTTTTGGTTGTACATGATAGAGTATTATTGTTTGAACTCAATTTTTGAGAAGACTGATTTTTTCTGGGCGTTGGTAACGGCAGCTGTGGCCGATTAGCTATAGATGGCTTAAGATTGTTATCATCACCTGCAGAATAAAATATTACTATAGAAAAAATTATTGGTAATAAATTCATTTCTCAATTTTTTTTATATAAACTATGATTATTTTGTGCTAGTAAATTTAATACATTTGTATGTCAATTACCTGTAAAACCATTCAATTCCTCCAACGTAACTTTAACTAATGGATAAGGTGCCTGCTGGACTCTTCTAATATTTCGAACAGCACCAGAGCTTCCACTAATTTGTGTTAAGTTGTAAAAATTGATAACATATGGAAGACATAGATAGGTCAAACTCATGTCAATAGTTTGTTCTCCCTAAAACCAAAAACCCATTAAAAAAAATAAATGAGTAGTTCTATAATAACCTTATTCCATTTTTGTAATAGATTAAATTTTAAAAAAAAATTACTGTACACAATTTGTCATGAAGACATACATACTTTAACCAGAAATATGTATAACACAAATAAATCAACCAGCTACACTAAAAAATTCTTTGCTATGAAAAATAAATAAAATTACTTACACTAGCCCAGGATTCTTCAATAAGGCACTGAACTTCCATGTCATGAGTTAGCCATTCCGATCCACCCTCGCCACCACCCCATTCCCATTTAACACCTTTACCAGCAGGTGAGTTTTGATGATAGCATTTCCTTCTTACTTTTAAAGGTGACAAATCTGAAATTATTAATATATATTATTTACATTATCATAATTTTTAAAACATGTTACAAATAATTTCATCCAACTTAAGTTACAAAAGCTAAATGATGATAATCTTGCATGTAACTTACATGTAAACAACTTTTTTTCATCTTCATAATTTCAATATATGATATACTATAACTAATATAGGATAAAATTGAATAAATGACTACAAAACCTATATAATTATACATACTTTACTATTTTGCACACTTTAACATTCGTTGTATCATTACTCAATTTATTTAGTATAAAAAAAATGTTTATGAGAATTTGCATGAGAATGAAAGATTTTTTAAATGATTTCAGTGTTAAATTTGAAATAAATCAGGTATCTTACATTTCATGTGATGATAATAGATTTGTGAAGTAAACACTTCTGTTATGTTACAAGTAATGGATAATAATATTGTTTTTTTTTCCGTATGCAGTTGCTAAATCATTATAGATATTTTTTTCTAATCAAATTATTATATAGATTTATTGTTGCAATTCTTCGCAAGGACATAATCTTTCTAGAGCATTTAATTTTATGATCATTTGATAATTCTTTATATATTTAAAAAAAATATCTACAGTTTTTGAAGTACACAACAAACAATTTTTACATTAAAAAACCCTTACCTCCTTCATCTTGACATTGAGTCTTTGTCCGTAAATTAACATAACTATGCAAAGAAGGATCAGCATCAGATAATATAACTCGAGTTAAACGTTTTACATTGGCTCTCTCTAAATGCTGCGATACTTCTGGACTGTAGGGCCTCCATCTGCCTTCTCTGAGCTCCCATTCCCATACCACAACAGCATGGTGAGACATAGCTATAAAAAATATCAATAATATAAATAGTGAATGACAATTTTATACAGATAATAAAACTGCACGCCCTACTAATAAAGTATGAGTAGGTTCCAGACAGATGTATATATTTCTCAATAATTGATTAAAGTTAGTTCGGAATAATATTATAATATCTGTTCATTATTCACCTGTTTGTATTTGTACATTGTAAAATAAATTATATGTTATAGATAACAGGTAAAAAGTATGTTTGTCTGTTACAAAATGTTTGTAAATTATATGGCTTAAATACATACATACATACATACATATATATATATAAATATATATTTGTATGATTCTGAATTTGATGTTGACATATGTATTAAAAGTCTAGTAATTGGTCATAACATCAATAAAAAACATGAATTTCTTTCAAATATTTATTTTACATGCATGTTTCGGTTATAATCTTAGCCTTCATTCAGTGGAAACTAAAAATAAAATTAAAAACTAAAGCAATTAAATTGGAGTGAAAAAAATAATAAAAAGAGTAAATGTACTTACAATTAGTTAATCTTAGTGTTAAATTAGAAGATTTTAATAATGCATGGTATCAGATATGATAATGCACTACACTATGTAATATAACATTAAATTGTAATTAAACATTCGCATAATATTAATTTAAAAAATCATAAATAGATAGTGGGTAATATATGTTTGTGCATTGAAGACTTCATGGAGATAAGACTTTTAAAAATATTTTTACCAAGATTGTACACATGTGTGGAATGAATTGCAAATCCTTTGGGTGACTTTTTTATTGTTTTGTGTGAAACTTTTAGAAATGCTATCTAAAGAAAAGAGATTTGTGTCACACAGCATGTTAATTTCATTCCTTTTATTTATTGTCTTATTGTTATAAATAGTTAAAAATGATCCTTCTATAATTCTTCGTTTAAATCAATTTTGTTCGAATTGTAGTACAGTCGGGTAAGAAAAGTCCATATTGTGTTTTAAAGTATTAATGTGGTCCACAAACATAGTTTTAAATTGTCTGGGATTGTAAATGTTTAATAAGTTCTGGCATGTTTCTCCTATGTAAATTAAATTACTATCTGGATATTTATTTGATATACGAGATTTATAAGTTGTTGGATATTAGATGGGGTTTTGTTTTGGTAAAAATAGTACAAGTCGATGTAGTAAAATTATTTACAAGTCAGAGTCCAGATTTATAAAAAAGTCTCTAATGTATGGCAAACATATTACACCCAGAATGAGCCTCTGAGTTAGGTAAATCATTATGTACAGTGGAATATATATATATATATTATATTATATCTATGTATATTGTGTGTGTGTATGTTGTGACTGATAGTAAATTTAATGTTTTGGCTTGTAAAGTCATAATAAACCCTGTTTAAAATTTTTGAGGTCAATCTGACCCGAAATGACACTGCTGTTCATTTTGTTTTGCAATACATATATATGTATATATAAAAGTCTCTAATAGAATCTATCATTATTATGAGTACATATTCATTATTATATGTGCATATAGCCTGTCTCAGACTCTTTGATGAATTAGTCCACTACATTTATTATTATTAGTCTTGATAATAATTATATATTATATATATATATAATATATATAACTAACATTAATAATAATGAATAAATCAATACTGATTGTACTTTAAAATGAATCATACATAAATTCAATTAATAATTGTATCTCCTCTCTTGTTGACATATTCACTTGACACCTTGCATATATTATAAAGATTG